CAACTCGAGCTTTATCAAAGACAGAGCTCAACTCACAGACGTCAAATGAAATATCTGGATAAGTTTAAGTAGCAATCCAGTTCAGTTGTCCAACCAGTGCTCAGTAATCTCTTTTCCATTTCTAAGAGCCCATCTGAACGACTTCTCTTATCCTTTCCTTCCAATTTGACCTCTTCCAATGATCAAACTTAGTCATCTAGGCTTAATCCAATACTGCGGGCTGAATCTCTTTCCAAGTGCACACCGATGTACTTGAAGGAACCACGGCTCATTGTCCCAATGAGGAACTTGTCCTTCAATGAATTGATGACTGTATCTCTGAAGAAGTCCCCTCCAGCCCAGCAAAAATCATCCACGTGAATGCAGATGATACCTGACAGCACACTCTCCTTGAAGTAAAAGAACAGTGCACTGTCCAAGCTGCACACAGAGCTGGGCAGCGCTACTTAGAAATGTAGCGGCGCTACCGCTACCGCTACATGCTCTAAATGTAGCGGGCGCTACCGCTATCGCTACACCCACTAGATTGTAACGGGCGCTACCGCTACCGCTACAGTAAAATGTAGCAAGCGGCAAAACCTCGTATCGCTACTTAAATATGTAGCGGACGCTACCGCTACCGCTACATTGCCTTAAATGTAGAGCCGCTACCGCTACCGCTACTGAAAATGTAGCGGCCGCTAGTAGCGGCCGCTAGTAGCGGCCGCTACATGTAGCGCGCTACTGCCCACCTCTGGCTGCACATCACCATACACATTTGAAGAAGTACTTTGTTTACTCTGAAATACCACGCGCGTGCTGCATCACAAAGACCATAAACCATTTTCTTAGTATGACCATCCTTTTCCGTCTTTGTGATAACCTAACGAACAGAAAGAGATGGCTGTCCAATATTTTCAACCTCTTTGAACACTTCGTTTTCTTTCCAATTGTTGTACTCTGCTTCCTTGGCTTGTTGAGTTCGTGAATCACACAGTGTAATGAGAGTCTCTGCCTCCTCTGGCACCGTACGCCATTTTTCAACTTGTCGACACAAGTTGGTCCAATCCACCTCACCATTATCACGTCTGATGTTGTAGCAGCTGTCATATATTCCACCTGCCTTACCAGCTCAACTGAGAACAGTAGTGGAAAATTTATCTCCTCTGTGCTCTGGACAACATTCAGTTTTCTGGCCAATATTTGGCTTGCAAGCATTGCTACAAGTAGGAGTAATATAGCCATCAAGAACTTTGTTTTGTTGAGGTGGTTGCTGTTGCGCAATATTATCATCATCCGAGTCGTAGTCCACTGTAGCAGTATCACTGTGAGTACATTCCTGGCATGTTTCAGGAGCCAAATGTGCAGCTCTGAGATCAGCTGGCAAGGTTGGAGTGTTGGCAGGTTCCATGTACTGAGGTCTGCAGGTATGTACACTCATGTAGGATCCACCATGCTTCACCAATACTTGTTTACCATCTTTTCCGATGACAACGCCAGGCCCGTGCCATCTATCACTGTCTCAACACTTGAAATACACTATCTCCATTAACCAGATCATCCACGTCCGATGTTTGCACTTGATGCAGCAATGCCCTCCTTAACTTTTCACTTAGCCTGGTTGATGTTCAATGTTTGTTCATTGCATTCTGTAATTACTTTTGCTGGAAGGAGTCTCCTTGGAAGTTGATTGGGGTTGTAAGTGACTGCATCATCTGAACAATCTGAATCGCTGTCCCTTTTGCTTCTTTCACAGTTTCTATGGGTGGCTCACTAGCAAGTATTTCATCAAGCAATGATCTGGAAAAATAAAATTAGAAAAAAGTGTATGTCAGGAGGAAAAATTGTATATTGGTTAACTTAGTTCCAGAGATTATAACTTTTTCTTTGTATTCACATAAGCGCTCTATAACTGTAGTGTTGAAATTTATAACAGAAAACCCAACGTTCATCATACAAATGAATAATTTATAGAATGAAACCCCTTTCAGGGAAGCAATGCATAACTATGATGAAGTTTGGAACCATTTCTACATACTTACACCATTTGGAACCACACTAAGTATAATACAATATAAATGATTATGTAGACATAATATCATGTAATAGCATATATATCCTTATAAGTACACTCTTAATAATACCAATATGCATCCAACGTAAAAATATTATTATTTTAGAACAGAAAACTCACCTTTCTCTGCTACACAATGTCGAGCCATCTTTCATGACACCCTCCCGTTTCTTGTAATCTTCCAAGGTCAACTGAGCAAGAAGTAACTGGCACAGCAGAACCAAACATAGTCAGAACATGTACAAGACCTGTAACAAACTAACTCGCCCACTAAAATAATTATTTGAGCATGCAGTTAGATTATAAATCATTTTCCCCCAGCTGGTTTCAAATGGGACTGCTCAGCATTAATGGGTTAAGGAGCCAAAATATCAAGTGGGTACATGACAAAACGTACAAAAGTATATGTACTTTTCCCCTTATTCCACAGTCATGACCATAGGCTCATACTAATGACTAATTCTTACAACTTGTGTAATGGACAGTTGGTTAACACAAAAATAATATCAATCATGAAGTAAATCTTAAAAAGCATAGTGTATGGCTATGTAAATATCATTGTAAAAATAATCTTCTCTAGAACTAATGTAGGTTTTTCATATTTCACATTGAGAAACTAAAGTATGTGAATTAAAGGGAGCATCTGGGGTAAAAAATATCTCGGATATCACTAGATAGATTGATTCAAAATTTGGTACACGTATGTAAAACGTAATCCTGGTTATTTTTTGTTTGTGTGAATTTTTTGAAAAATTGAAAGAAAACTAGAAATTCTTCGAATTTGGCCAAAAAGGGGATACTGTAGAAAGTTGATCAGTCCTATGATTTTCAAGCTACAACATCGAGACACATATCATTAGATGCGTAAAGACCATATATAAAAACTTAACTTTGGTTTTTTTTTAATTTCTCATTCTCATGGGTGTGGGAGTATTTTTTCTGAAATTTTTTGATTTTACCTCCGCCCTCCCCCCTTTTTGCAAAATAAAATCCAAACTATAACTTTAAAAAAGCCCTAGTTATGTTTGTAGATATTTTATTTGCAAATCAGACAGTATATGTCTCATTGATGTAGCTTCAAAACTCTAGGAGGAGATAGGTTTTCAGTGATAATAAGTGTGAATGTTCAGTAGAGCCCGACAAAATCCCGGGCACCTCAAAATCGGCATTCAAGACTGCAAGGAATGCAACTAAACAATACTGTAGTTCAATTGTGGATTGTGAGAGTGACGGTGTGGGAACCACCCCATAGAACTGCCGCAAGGTTACTGGCGCTGAGTGTCTGTACACCAGCTATATATAGTGCAATATGGGAATTATTCCCTATGTTAGGTGTAAAAGAACTCCCCCACCTCCCTCCCTTGTGGAACCTGTAGTGAATGCATAAATCAATGTACAGTGATGGTTTTGGTACCGTTGGAAAGGTCAGAGTGTCAGCTTTAAGACGAGACTTGAAACCATAAAAGCTGATACAGCAATCCCTTGATTAGCACGGTTTTGATTAACACGGAAAAAAAAATTTGCAACCTACCCTTAATCTACGTGGTGCCAGTTTTGATTAGCGTGACTTTTTTTTCACAACGCATCATTTTCCCGCCTCTAGTCAGAGGTGTTACGTTTGTAACAAAAGTGTTACTTTTTGCTATTAGATCTTATGTTGTTACTTTTGTTATGACTTTTGGAAAAATTTGCCAAATGATGTTACTTTATTATGAATTTCAGCCAATAATTCTTTAAATAAGGTCCCGTTCCATAGACACTTGTGCTGACTACAGAGTCGGTTTAACCACGCCTTGTCTTGTTCATAACTCGAATGGTCAAGTTCGGCAACGTTCGCCGGTAAGTGCGTCATGCCGGTGCTCTAGTTACTCGTTAGCCTTCAACTGGTCAAGATCGCTGCCATATCTACTGCTCACTTTTATCAAACTACATAATTTTCCTTGATAAATTACCGTCATAATTATGGACAAAAAGGGAACGCTTAAACGTAAAAATATCACTTTGGAGACTAAGCTTGAATGATCAATTGAACTAAGCAAAATATGATGAATTTTAGTGAAAAAAAAAATTATTATGTAACTTTGCTATTTTTGAGGATTCATTATAATTATTCCCATATTATATATTCTTGAGTTTGATTAGCGCGGTTTTGCTTAACACGGTACAACTCGGGGATTTATCAACCGCGTTAATCAAGGGATTGCTGTATTGTTGATTTTGGACCCAGTCACCCAGATGTTCCCCTTAAATTAAAACCTAATTTTGGACTGATATTAAACCTACAGTTTAGATAAAGCTAACATAAAATTGTTACAAAAAACTCTGTGAAATTTATTTTTCTATCAATGGTGTGACAAATTGAAAAATAAGCAGCTAGAAATTTTACAAAATTGCAAATATTGCAGAATATAAAAATAGCAGAATTGGAATGGATATTAAGGAGGTACCTAGTGGTCACTAGGTTAATTTCATGTCATTGTGATAGGTCTCTAGAGCAAGATAGGGGACCAAGTAATATTTTGGTGACTTTAAAATGGGTGGGTATGTTTAAGGACTCAAATCAATGTGAGTTTTATTAGAAGATTTCACTATTTATATATGGGATGACTGAATTTTTTCAAGGGGGCTTTATATATGTATTTTTGACAGCTTCTATCTAGTATTATTGCATTCTGTAATTTGAACACGAGATAGTTTTCATGCATTCTTTAGTTTTTTTTTTAAAACTCACTTTTTACTTCAGTTTTTTTTTTATTAAAAAACCCAGCCAAGGTGGGTAGGTGGGCAGCTACCCAGTGAAACCCTGGAAACATGGTTTCATAAGCAATTATTTAGAACCACTATTCTTGTAAGGCAATAATGGCTATTAATTCTGTGATAAAACTGCAAAAAATTTTATTTAAGAAGATGTTAATTTATTTAGTAACATAAACCAGTAATACCAATGTCTTTTATCCCTTTCTCTGTTCTATAGGTTCCTTCCCCTAACAGATTCAACCTGCCATGGCTCCCATAAAATTGTATAATGCATCACGCACATATCAAACAGAATGGGAGACACAGTTTCCATGGCTTAGAAAAGCTTCAGATGGATCTGAAAGGGGTTTTTGTACATTGTGTCATGTTATTATTACTCCCTATAAAGCAAGCTTTGTCCGGCATGAGAAAACTAGTTTTCACTTGTCCAGTGACCAGAACCTTGCTGTAGAGCCAACTGAACATGCCTCTCTAAGTTATGGAGCCCTTCCTGAAACTCTGTCAAAGAAAAGTATAAGCAAAGCAAGACAATTGAAAGCTGGTGTTCTGGATGAAAAATCAGAAAATGATTACCTTCAGTTTGAAGTAACTTCAGGTAATCAGTCAACATCAAAGAAAATCAAACTGTCACCTAATTCTGCTTCCAAAAGTAAGTAAACCAAGCAATCTTAAACTTGTAATTATGTTTTGATAGTTTAGTATCCAATCTGATTTCAGTCTGTGCCTAGTTTTGGAAATTTTAACTTATTACTGAAAATTTGCAGCTTGAAAATGTTGAAATCATGGGTTATTTTAAGTAAGAAAATTTCTTGTCGCCCACTAGCTTTCCCACCATTTTTGGAACTGTGAGATTCCCATTGGATGAATTAACTGCAGTCTAATTGTTAAATAAATGCATGTTTGGGCCACTAGATTCTAAATGCATTGAAAATTTAGCACTTAGGAGCCATGAGATTTCAGTAATAAGTTGGAAAATCCAAATTTGGTCCCCAGGTCAGCAGTAGGGCATGTTTTTCAAAGATCCAGGTCATGCATAAGTTTTTCATTAATATAAAAAGTGAAAATTGCAAAATTTTGTTGTCCTAAATTTACTTACTGTTGAAGTGAGATACCGTACTTTCCTGTTCAAAAATACTTCCTAGATGTGGTTTACTTTTTTTTCCTTTTCTCCCCTTCACTAGTCACTAACAAAATTCCTATTCTTCTAGCTATTTGATGACCGATGTTGAATAAAACATGGTTTTGCTCTTATGTCAATGCCACATGCATTTCCCCACAGCAGAAACTGCACATACCTGGCTGCTTCTCACTAATAACCTTATAATACTGGTCATAACTAAGGATTGCAGAGTTCAATTATCACATGATGATTAAAAAGCTGTTTTGATCAAGCTAGAAGGATGTGGTTCAGATTTATTTCTACAATAGATAATTTCTATTGAAGGGTAGCAACTTTTGTGCTGTTGGCAAGGTTATTGGCATTGATAGTAGTTAAGTAGGATTGCTCATTTTAGTAATTTTTTTTTTTTGTTTCTGATAGATAGTTTTGAAAGCAGATGGTCAGTTGCATATTTACACACCCTTGTGAGATTTTATATCCAGTTGTACATTCCTATCCAATTTATTCATGGCACGACTTCCCTTCGTAGATTTTATCCACATAGGAAGTGCATGTAAAAGTGGGTTGTGAAATGCTGTTTCCTAAGCAATTATTTAGCATAAATACTCACGCAATGCAACAATAACTAAAATCTTTACAATTAAAACTGCAAAAATTATTTAGAAGGTTTGAATTTAGTTCTAACCAGAAACTACTAATACAAATATTTTTCCCATTTCTCTCCTGCATAGGTTCCTTCTCTCAACTGATGCAACCTGCCAAGGCTCCCAAAAAATCGTATGAAGCAACACGCAGATATCGAACAGAATGGGAGACCCAGTTTCCATGGCTTCAGAAGGCCCCAGATGGATCTGAAATGGCTTATTGCAAGTTGTGTCATATTGTCATTAGACAACACAAAGGATGCTTGGTCCAGCATGAAAAAAGTAATTTTCACTTGTCCAGAGATGGGAATCTTAATGTAGAGCAAACCAAAGTTCCCATCCAAAGTTGTGCAGCCCTTCCTGAAGCCCCTTTGCAGACAAGGAAAAACAAAGCAAGGCATTTGAAGGCTGGTGGGCCAGAAGAAAAATCAAAAGAGTACATTGAGATCGAATGGACTTCGGTTGATCAATCATCACCAAAGAAAACCAAATTGTTACTTGATTGCAATTCCCAAAGTAAGTTAAACAAGCTATCTGTAACGTGTAAGTAGTTATATTTTTGATCATTTAGTATTCAATCCAAATTAATTGGGCCTCTGCCAAGTTTAGAAATTTTAGAATCAGAGATCTGTCTCGTGCAGAAGTTTGTTGATAGTATAAAAGCCAAAGTCATAAAATTTTAGTGTAATAAATATAGGTACCAGCCTTTAACACGTTGACTACGTATTGGTACATATGCGTACCACGAAATGTATTTCTCCTGGTACATAATTCAGGGTTGCCAGATGGCCTAAAAAACGGCCAAATAAGTCCGTGAACAAAAAGGCCAAAAAGGCCTATAACTCAATATATACTAGTATATTTGTAGGTTCGGGGGTGAAAATTCAATTTTTTTTATTTAATTAGGAAGCGCCCCTTACAACCCCTATCATAAATTTTAGCCGACCACCTAAATTGAAAAAACTAAATCGCGGAATTTGTCCGGTAAAAAAAGAAAGTCTGGCAACCCTGTTCCATAATAGTACTAGAAAAATGAAACAAAAGTACAAGATGAAGCAATCGTAGTCAACGTGTTAATGTGAGATACTTCCTTAGTTAAATTTTCTTATTAGATGTTTGTTAACATGTCTTTTATTTTCACCACTTAACTGGTCAGTAACAAATTGCTGTTATTCTTGCTGTATGATGACCCGTGGTGAATGAAACATGGTTTTGCACTACCATCAATGCCACCTAAGTTGTCACTTAGAAGAAACTGCAAATTCCTTGCTGCTTCTCAACAAAAACTTTATAATACTGGTCAGAACTAAGATTTGTAGGGTTCAATAATCACATGACTAAGAAGCTGTTTTGATCAAGCTAGAAGTATGGGGTTCAGATTTGTTTCTAGAAAAAATTGTTTCTATTGAAGGCTGGCAACTTTGGTGCTGCTGGCAAGAACATCATAATTGACAGTACGTAGTGGTTGAGTACAATAGCTCATTCTAGTAATATTCTCATTTTTAATGGGTTGTTTTGAAAGCAAATGGTCAGTTATCATTACCATAGATTTGTCAGATTTTATCTCTAGGTATACATGCTAATCCAATTGATTCATGGCAACACTTCCTTCTGTAGATTTTTTCCATAAATCCAATGCATGCTAAAGTCGGATGTGAAACATTATTTTATTAGCAATTATTAAGAATAAATACTCATGTGATGCAACAATTGCTAAAAACTTTGCTATTAAAGCTCTACAGAAAAATTTATTTTCAGAGCTTGTATTTAACACGTTGACTACGTATTGGTACATATGCATACCACGAAATGTATTTCTCCAGGAGGTAGTGGTACATAATTCAGGTTGCCTAAAATCGGCCAAATTCGAGAACAAAAAAGGCCGATAATTCAATGTATACTAGTTTATTTGTAGGTTCTGCTATAAAAATTTCATTTTTCTTTTTCCAGTATATAAAATTTAATTAGGATGTACCCCTATCATAGATTTTAGCCGGCTAACGCAGTTGAGAAAAACTAAATCACGGAATTTGTCAGGAAAAAATGACCGTCTGGCAACCCTGCTTAAAAAAAGTACAAAAAATTAAATAATAGTACAAGATGAAGCAATTGTAGTCAATGTGTTAACTCAGAACATAAACTATGAAAACCAATATCCTTTTTTCCCTTTCTCTGTTCCATAGGTTCCCCCAAACTGATCCAAGCTGCCGTGACTCCCAAAAAATCGTATGATGCAACACGCAGATATCGAACACAATGGGAGACCCAGTTTCCATGGCTTGAGAAGGCCTCTGATGGATCTGAAAGTGCTTTTTGCAAGTTGTGTCATCTTATCCTTAGACCCCACAAAGGATGCTTGGTCCAGCATGAAAAAAGTGATTCTCACCGCGCGAGAGGATGGAACCTTGATGTTGAGCAAACCAAACTTCCCATCCAAAGTTGTGCAGCCCTCCCTGAAACCCCATCACAGACAAGTAAAAACAAAGAGCGGCATTTGAAGGTTGGCGGGCCAGAAGAAAAATCAAAAGAGTACATTGAGATCGAATGGACTTCAGTTGATCAATCACCACCAAAGAAAACCAAATTGTTACTTGATTGCGATTCCCAAAGTAAGTTAAACAAGCTATCTGTAACTTGTAAGTAGTTATATTTTTGATAATTTAGTATTCAATCCAAATCAATTGGGTCTGTGCCAAGTAAGCAATTATTTAGCATAACTACTCATGTGATACAACAATTACTAAAATCTTTGCTATTAAAACTCTGCAGAAAAATTTATTTTTAGAGCTTGAATTTAATTCAAAGCATAAACTATGAAAACCAATATCCTTTTTTCCCTTTCTCTGTTCCATAGGTTCCCCCCAAATGATCCAAACTGCCATGGCTTCGAAAAAATCATATGATGCATCACGCAGATATCGAACAAAATGGGAGACCCAGTTTCCGTGGCTTAAGAAGGCCTCCGATGGATCTGAAAGGGCTTATTGCAAGTTGTGTCATGTTATCATTAGACCCCACAAAGGATGCTTGGTCCAGCATGAAAAAAGTGATTCTCACCGCGCGAGAGGATGGAACCTTAAGGTAGAGCAAACTAAACTTCCCAACCAAGGTTGTACAGCCCTTCCAGAAACCCCATCACAGTCAAGGAAAAACATTCAAATTGGATTGACTTCAGTTGATCAGTCACCATTAAAAAAAACCAAACTGTTATATAATGGCAATTCCATAAGTAAGTATAGCAAGCTATCTTTAACTTGTAAATAAATATACATTTATTAACTTAGTTTTCAATCCAAATCAATTGGGCCTGAGCCAGGGTTGCAACAAACTTGGGGGTTTTTTAAATTGTTAAACCCACCCAGATTTTATTAAAAAAACCCAGAGTTTTATTTGAAAAGCTCCGGTGAAATGAATGAAATGTTTTTTTTTTTTTTCATTTCATTTAAGTCTAGCTTCTTAGTCTTTTTCATTTATGTTTATTATAAAATATGTTATGTAATGCTGGTAACTATCAACCTTTATCATTATTTGCGATAGTTTTTAATGAAATAATTGCCAATTTTCTAACAGTGAGTTAATAACGTTTCATAAACATGTATTACTATTTAAAAAAAGTGACCCATCTCTGTCAGAGGCTTTAAATCAATGCAAAAAATAAGCATTGAATCAACTTACCCAGTTTTTGCTGTTTTCTTGTTTCTCAAAATTCGAATAGTGTAAAATTCTAAACAACACACTTCCCAGTTTTTTCTTCATAACTTTTTAAGAATTGGACTTATCACCTTGAAATTTGGACCTAACTTTGAGCTTTCTACAAAACCTTGAGGTTTCTTCTATTGTACATGCTCAAAAATTACAGGATTGTCTTATTAGTTAGTTTTTATTAGGAATCTAAATTATATGAAATTTAAAAGCCCACATGTTTCTATAAATCATATTGTGCTAAAAACATGAAAGATTTGGGTCTATTTAAGAACCCAAAATTTTGAATGGTTTCATGACAAAACAGACAAAATTCTAATGACTTTGCTTCCTTCATTTTACACACTAGACTTCAGGGTTTTAGTAATGACAATTTATTTTCAAAACTTGTTTGATTGACTTTCAAGTTTATTAAAACAGAAAATAATGTCAAACATTAAGTTTTAGTCTCAACAGTATAGTGTATGTAAGTATATATGGAAAAATGATTTTTTCATTACAACTAATTTTTTTTCCTATTTTACAATAAGAACCTACAGTTAGTAAATTGAATTAACATCAAGGGTGCCAAATGAAATCAAACTTTTAGATTTTACTTTTTAGATTGTGGGTTTTTCAAACGCTTGCACTAATGCAGTGGGTGCAAACAGTATCTGACAAAAAGGAAAAACAATATTTAATGAAAGCTTATACCGCTGAATAATATAATCAAATACTATTCTGTTCTAATGTAACTTTACATGGGATATACAAATATTGCATCACAACAACAATCTCATCAAATGTAGACGTGGAGGGGGATGAGAAGAGCCAACATACCTATTTATTGTAGAGAATAATTTTACAAAAGTATTAGTACTGTATATATAAACAATATATTTGAACAAGTACTGAAGCACAAGTTGAGGGCAGAACTGGTGGGCAGGTGTTGGCACCATCATTCTATGGGAGGGGAGCTAAGGATAGAACACTAGGAACTTAAAAGTAAAGAAAATAGCCAAAAAGTTCACCGGACTCCGGACACCGGTCCGGTCAGAGGCAGGACTCCGAAACGTTTTCTCTTATAAGAAATGGTGAACTTTTTGGCTATTTTCTTTACTTTTAAGTCCCTGGTAAATTTGTGACTTAAGCAGCCAGGTGATTTTAATAGAACACTATCATTTGCAAACCGAGTGGTAAAGAGATATGATTGATACCTTACAAATATGTGCAGCCTGAATGGAAGAGAAACCTCTCAATATGCATCTGCCTAACGTCCTTACCATTTGTAGATCCAGAATTGTTTTTATAGTGTAGACCAGCTTGGACAGAAGGTTCAACAATAAATGATTGTCACAGGCATCAGATATCTTGTTCATGCCAAAGTTTAATTCTCTTAATAGTTGATTGGATTCTTTACTAACACCTTATTTGATGATCATTAAAGGAGTGCAATATACTGATAATTACATATATTGAGCAACATCTAATTGTTAACAAAATCCTTTTTATTCTTCAATCTTCATTGTTGTTATAACCCATTAAATATAGCTTATTCATCTTAGCAAAAAGTGTTCAAATTGTTTGTAATGTTTTTTTTTACGCTCCTTCCAGATGGCAGTGAAGATTTTGGGACTTGTTTTGGAGAATTTGCTGCAACTCTTGGTGAGTTTTATGTTTTTTTAATTTAAAACTAGCTTTACTAGGTCATACAATGACTTCTTTGTGTTTCAATATCGTAATATGTATAATGATTATTTTAGTATAGTTTGGCGGAAGTTGTTTCTTTCGACAACTAAGACGGGTCATTGTAGACTAGACAATGGATGTTGTTAGCAAATGAATGAATATTGAATGTTTAAAATGATATTTTCATCTATTAATGACTCTAAAAATAAAAATTAAGCATTATCAAGTAAGATGAAGGTTTTGCAACACTTGAAATTTGGAAATGACTAAATGGGTACAGTGGATACCAATGTGTGGGAAACCTATGTTGCTTACAGATTTTCCTTCCGTGAAGAAGATTGTAAACATTACCAATTCATAAACTTATATTGGCGTGATAACAACTACCTTGAGCTGCCTTATCATGCTGGTGCTAGATCTTACCTGATGCTACCAGACTGGTCAAATCTGAGACTCTCGTCATTTTTGATGTAATAGTCAAGCCTTGAGCTATCAACTTACAAACCACCACATTCCTGACTGGAAAATAATTTGCTGAGTAATTTTAGTTATTTATTTCAAGTTGTAACCATCATACCCAATGTACTCTTTGGTCTTTGGTCTACATTAAAGAACAACTTATGCCAAACTGCACCAATATAACCATTGTTTGCACTTAGAATGAAAAATTTCTCATTTTCATATGTTTTAAAAATCTTCAACTTGTCATTTTCCTTGATAATGATGGAAGTTTATTTGCTAACACCTGCAAAAAATATTGTTTGACTCTGTAATTGGAGAAAATAAACAAAAAGTTTCTTAAAAACATCTATTCTCTAGTTTTTAATGTAGCTTGTCTGCATTTTTGTCTGTTATGTGAGCTAGCTTCAACTTATCTCTAGCTGTTCAAATTCAATATTCGATATCTATAAGAAATAATAATAAAATACAATTCAAACTAGACCTGCTATGGATTATTTATTATATTTTAAGAATTTATTCAATTTAATTTATGTATATTTCAGATTGTATGGAGACTCGTGAGCTGATCTGTGAACTCTGCCGCTTGTTTTACTCACTAGGCTGGGTGACAGGCACTGGTGGAGGCATCTCAATCAAGGACAAGTTTGTTTAATTACAGTGTTCTGCATCTTATTAGTACAATTCAAATATTGACTATGCATTATATGATTTATTTAAATGTGCATGCTTCAATAATAATGTTGCAGGAATAGGGAAATACATATTATTCAATTTGTAAATAATTTTTGCCGCTTAATTTTATGCTAAAGTGCTTCATTCAAGTTGTTAGTTCAATGCAACATCAAACTTAGAAGCAACCTTCATTCAGTACAGTAATGATGTATTTCCCCATCATTACAGTACAGTACTGTAATAATGGGGACAGTACAGTATGTATTTCCCCAAGCAATGTCAAGGTCTATTTGGCAGCCAAACCCCATCCACTGTAACCTAAAGTATATTGCATGTTCACCACAGAGATGGTGGCATCTTAGTGGCGCCTTCAAGGGTACAGAAGGAGCGGATCAAGCCAGAAGATCTCTTCAAGCTGGACTCTGATGGCCAAATCTTGTCTTCTCCCAGCAATGCTTCACTCAAGCTGTCTCAGTGCACCCCTCTCTTCATGCTTGCATACAAATGTAATTACACTTTCTAAGACTTATTGATTCTTAACCATATAGCTTATTATATTATTTCATTTTATAAATGCACCAGTTGCACCTGCAATTTTCTTAATTATTGTTTGTTGCTTGAATGTTCAGGTCATGTACGCATTGTACTCATCTCTAATAACTAGATATTATATTAATTAGTCTACTGTTACCTGTGAGTTGTCGGCGTAAATGAACTCTCACCTTTTGAAAACTGGTTTGTTGTTTGCAGTAAATTGGCAATAATTTTGTGTTGGATTTGTTGATTGAATCCAATGGATTTTTAATTTTAATGGCTATTTATTTATTATACTGCTTCAGTTTTTGGCCCTTCCCGTGATTCAGGGATGTAAATAATATGTTAAGAAGTTCAAAATAACAATGTGTACTTCAGTACTGGGAGTTGGGGCTGTTCTGCACTCACACTCCAAGAATGCTGTCCTGGCCACGCTCATTTACGGAAAAGAGTTCAGGGTCACGCATCTTGAGATGATAAAGGCAAGTTGAGTATAATGGTCATCACGTTTGCTTTCTTCAAGTGTTTGAGTCTGTTATATAACTTTAGGACCAAATATTCGGGGTGAATTCTGTCCAAGCTTTTTCTCTAATACAAAAAATTAGCCCACACAACATTCTAAAACCTTACTATCAAATACGAAATATTTTATTATAGCCTACTGTTATTAAACTTGAGTCGATTTTCTTTGTTTATGAACCTATCAGTGCTATAACATTGGCATAATATCAAACATTGAAGCTAAATAAATACAAATTTGTTAAAGCTCATATCACTCCAGGGCATTCAAGATGGCGTGACCAAGAAGGCGCTGAGGTACGATGACGAGCTCGTTGTTCCCATCATCGACAACACGCCTTTTGAAAAAGACCTCGTCACGTCCATGGAGCAGGTCAGGCATACACGCAACCTTTTTGTGGAAATAAATTTTTGCCACCCTTCTCAAAGATAAACTAGATTATAAAATTAAATTTTGTACTAATTGGCGTTTGGAAATACCTAATGGTCGTTTTTAACTGCAGCCAAAATTGATATCCATATTTACTAACATTTGTCCCTAATAATTCTTGACAATATTTGCATTGTTTCTATTATGTCTGCAAGATTCTCGCTTAAAAAAAATAATTTAAATTTGTCTACCAGGCCTGTATTATAATGCTCTCCAGGTCCACATTTGTTGTGGCTTAACCTTATTGTTGTAGCTTTAAAAATTTGTTAATGCTTAAATTATTTTGAATAATTGAATTTGATTTAGCGACCTACTGTTTTGAATGGAATATAAATCAAATTAGCATTGTCTTCCTTACATTTGCAGGCAATAAATGCGTATCCAAGTTCTCAAGCAGTGCTGGTGCGGAGACATGGCGTTTACGTCTGGGGCGACACGTGGCAACAGGCTAAGTCCATGTCAGTTATTAATTATTTCACAAAATATATTAATGTACAGTACGCGCTGTAAATATCTGTAAGTAACAGTAAGACGTACACCATAAAAGGCTCTGACATTACAGAGGAATGTTATGATGACAAGTAAATTTACACTTGTCTAGATCTAGCATGTTTTAGTGCCGTTGTACTTAATTACATGCAAGAGGTAATAATGCGTTAATAGTTGATTTATTATTGATTGCTTGGTTGCAGGGCGGAGTGCTTCGACTATCTCTTCGAGGTGGCCGTGGACATGAAGCGACTCCACATGGATGCCGCAGCCAAACCCTCGCTCTACGAGAACCTATGAAAATTTAGGGTGTTTTCCGCGAAAATTCTTCTCTTGAAAGCAGCTTCTATAAACTCAACACCGTTGTGAATAACTGCCCAGTGACTTGTTTAATTAAATAACTTTATTATGAAGATCTGACCTCATCTGACCCCGTGTTAGGGCTATTCTTGTTCGATAATTGAAAATAATTAATACCATGTTTAAATTGTGGATGTACGGACATGCTATGTATTCGTCAATGCCCGTTTTTCATGCACAAATAATTTTGCTGGTTTCAAATTCTGTTCAAAAGACAGTGTGATTCATGAATAAATGCCTCACGCTAATAGAGCCGCTGTCGAATTTTCATTCATGTTACGGAAATTAATCAATCTTAGTTATAACCGAATGAAGAAATTAAGTAACCATCCATTATATTAAGTTTGAATTTATTGCCCTGCCTGTCTGCCTTGCGTCTATATGCAAGTATCTGATGTTACTTGTGAGGTAGCACTGTTCAATAATTAGTCAGCAAATTTTAGGCATAAGATTTAGAATTATCGAAACTTCCACTTACAGTTATGTGGTATTATTTTCCTAGATAGGTTAATGTTATATTGTCGAGCCTTAGTCTGAAAGCAAATGTTGTTCTCGTTTTGTACCGACTATCGATGAGCAAAGTTTCGAATTCTCATCTGGGGAGAAATTGAAAAATTATGTTGAATAATACCTTATTTTAAACTATTCATTGCACGAGTGTAAGAGAAGAAACCGAAAAAGCTTCAATGCTAATACATTACATAGCACTGTGACCTGCTAGAACGGTCCTGCACTTACCATTTGTTAGCCAAAGTCACGGAAGTTGGGAAGAAAAGACTGAGGTTTTGTCTTAATTACTTCTTCATTGTACAGGCTTCTGAGAAAAGTTGATAGTTTAGTCTGTTTGACAGCTGAGTTATTTTAGATATTTAGACGGATCAAAGTAATACATAGCTTTGTCTGAAGACATCCCAGTGAAAATTTACAGACGCGGCAGCTTCTGATTTGGAGTACCAGAAGCTGGGGCGACTCTAAATTTTGTTAGGGATTGAGTTGACTTCGAGTGAAGGCATAAAATGAAAGTCTAAACGAGTGAATTTATTCCCTATTGTTAGGAAGTGTTTAAAGTTCGATGGCATGGTAGTATCACGGTTGTAGGGTTGAATGAAAGCTTAGTCTTCTGGTAAAAGTTTACTATAACACCGTAAGCACGGCTAGTGCTGGGCTGATTAGTAGCAGCTGCGTTTTAACGCTGACGAATGTAAAGTCATCACCTTGGCAAGAATAATGAACAGCAAGATTACGATATGAGAAGACACGTTTGCGACAGTGATGATGTCGAAGTCGACAACGGAAAAAGATTTAGGAGTTAATATCGACAATGAGTTGAAATTTTTTAAGCAGATCGAAGGTCAAGTTAATAAAGCCAATAAACGACTTTGACTGATCAGACGCTCTTTCGAGTTCCTAGATGCAGAAGCGATGAAGCTGTTGTTTGTTGCTGTCGTGCCCCCGAACCTAGAGTTTGGAAACGTCGTGTGGTCACCGAAATTTGAAAAGGACAAAAATTTAATAGAGAATGTTCAAAGACGCGCACAATGATAATTCCGGGCTTGAAAAGCAAGTCCTATGAGGAAAGATTAAAGATTATGTATCTTCCAAGCCTCAGATATCGACGTCTGCGTGGGGACCTCATTGAAGTATACAAGTATACTCATGGTTTATACAAGGTCCCAGAAGGCTTGTGGGGACCTCATTGAAGTATACAAGTATACTCATGGTTTATACAAGGTCCCCGAAAGATTACTAGAATTTGAAACAAGAATCAACACCAGGGGCCACTGCTATGAGCTAAAAAAACTGCGCTGCAACTTCTCCACGCGACAAAATTTCTTCTCGCTTCGAATCACCGACATGTGGAACAGCCTCCCCGATGACATCGTTGGCGCTCCAAGTATGAACGCGTTCAAGAATAGACTAGATGCTATGGAAAAATATATGTTCAGACTTGAAATGCCTAGCACCATATCGAACCCGGTGGAAGTCTAGTAGCTATTTCAAACTATCGTCAGTCTTGAAAAAGATGACATGATTTTAGATCTTCTGTAAACAAGTCACAAAAAATAAAAGAATCTGCGGCAGGCCAAATCAGGCCTACTTTAGCGCTGACATCACGTCTTGATCTCCTTGTTCCACGTCTAAATTCTTAGACTCTGTGTAGTCGCCCACCTGCTTCTTTGTTTTTGATAAAGCAAAAACAAATACCGCCATTTTTCACGAATTCTTGTCTTACAACAAGGATAAACTAACAAATTTTCTAATCAACGTCTTCCTTCGATTTCGCGCGTCAAACGCGTGCGATAGATTTCGACTCCATGACACCAATAATGCTGGAAGAGTATTTAAAGTGACTGATGCCTCAAAGCGTTAGTAAAAATTAAAATTACTTTAGATAAATTTCAGTAGAAGTTGAAAGCTCCCCTAATTTCCACTTAAGTAGAGTTTAGTCATTTCCAAATAAGCAACAATTTCAGTATCATAGTTTATAGTAATGTTTTAGATCTAAAGTAGGATAGACCTTTAACAGATTTATTAGGTATCATATTTTCCATAGTGTACAACATCAAAAATAATACACATTTCGTAGGAAAATTAGTTTAATATCCATTGAAAAACAAAGATTTCTCAGCAATCATGTTAAAAGTTTGGGCGAGCATTTCAACCTGGATGTGTACAGTTGCAAATAAATTGCCTGCGACCGAATATATGTAATTACTGCTATTAAACGCACTAACTAGACATAACAGCTTAATTAGAGGTACAGCTATTTGCTCTATCGTCTCCGTGTTACGCGCTTTTTCCCGTGAACCAGTTAATCGTAACCTTTGTTATAATTAATATCAAACTATAATTTAAGACTCATGCATTTTCATAAAATATTATTTTCATACAAGGACTGAATTCTCTAAATTCTATGAGCTCCCCTAAAATTGCTCACGTCGCTGCTCACAACACTTTGTTGTTTACACAAGCGTGAGGCACAGTTCAACAGTTTCAGCTCCCTGACCAATAACGAATGCGACATCACGACTAAAGTTATGACGAATGCGATATCACGAAAAAAGTTACGAGTATAATTGAATCTAGCACAATTCGAGAAAACAATGATATTAAAACTTTTAGAAACGATATTAAATTTGAAGTCAGATTTTTTATATTACAATCTTGTTAATAGAAGCCATAAAAATATAACAAAACAAATCTCTTATTGTCATGACGATTTTTTTTATCACATTTTCTAGAAGCCTCTATCCCGCACAAAGCTATCAACGAGACAATTTGTTATTGGTATTTGTGACACAGAATAATTTCTCAAATACTTACTTGGTATCACCTGTGACGACGAACATATTGTTTGAAGTTCATGGCCCATCATAGCGAACGAGAAAACTTCGGACCTTGCACAGTTTATTCAATTTGTTTGTTACATCAAACCAGGAGAGGCCTAGCAAGAGAAACGTTAGAATATGGTATATATTTACTCCGTAACTCCTCATGGTCTTCTGGCATCAGCGGGGCAGTTCTTGGCCGGGATGCAAGTCGTGTACTGGTTGCTGCGGGAATGCAGCCGTGCACCACCAAATTTGTCCACCAATCAGCCCTGAAAGAAACGCCTAGCATATTCCCGGATGACCACCAATCAGCCGCGGATAAAGCCATCCGTCAGTAACCAGCCCATGACATCATCTTGCTTTAAATATTAGGAGCTTTACGCCACCATATTCTGAAGCGAATAGCCCAAATAGTTTAACGGTTATCCACCACTGAACGTTGCATCGAATCATCACTTCATACCCCGACTTTGCTTCGAACTATAACAAGAGGACAACGGACTGCGACCAACCAGCCAGCTGGTTACACTTCAAGTGCAACAAAAGCTCTATTAGGTAATTTTGGTCAAACCCAAATTCTATATAGGACTTTAGGCCTTGTCAATGCTATTACTGCCATCGTCTTCGTATCGAGGAGCATCATCATTTGCAGAAATCGATTCCCTTGCTTCACTTCCTATGATAATGGATGTATAATCCTATCCTAATGGAATCTGTTGTGAGGGATCGATTGATAGATCATTTGACTGTCAACATGGCTTT